TGCTAGGCAAGTGCTCTCCCACTGAGCCACAACCCCAGCCCCTAGGCTGTTATTTTGTAGAAAGCCCCTTAGCTTACCTGATGCTCCTTCTGGACGAGGTTCTCATTCTTTGGCAGGAATGTGATAGAAGTTGTGCTGTATTCTACCATTTTTTTCTATCCTGTGGTACACCATTTCTTTGTTCTGTTACTTGATTTAAGATAGTGTCAAGCTTCTTCTTTCTTTGTCCCTTTGTAATAAACAAATATATGGTGAAGAAGTATTTTGAGACTATATAAGTAACCCCATCCCTCTCATACAGTTGTTCACTTATTTATATCTGTATTACTCTTGGTTTCCTATTTTAGAATAGTCTTTATCATTATTTGTTTTAATGCTTAAGTTGTCACAGATTTCGTCAGTCGGGACTCCTCCTCACTGGTGTTTGTGTACTTTTGATATGTCCTAATCAGTGCTGAGCCTAGCACAAGGCATCTCTTACCTCTTACCTTGGAAGCCAGTGTTTCTTCAAGGAACCCTTGTTCCTTTTAGTAGAGAATGGTATTTAGAAACCAGAATCTGAGCATCAGGTGTGCTCATTATAATTGGAGTATCTCTGTTTCTAGGATTTCTCAGTGGCTAAACCTAGACAATATATATTTATATATAAACTATATGGACACATGTATTGTATTTCTTTTATAGCCACCTGTGTCTAGCTACCTATCTGTTCACTGAACACCAGGATTTCGCACAGTTGCATCTAATTCTGGTTTGACACACATGTTCATTCTTGCTTTGTTCTGGCTATGTTTGTAAGTCTTCTTAGTTTTTATTATTTCTTTACAAATTGGTTAGTCTTGATCTGTTCTCTTATGTATAACCAGTCTCCCTCTGCTGCAGTCCCCTTCCCACATAGTTGCCCTCTTCACCCTGTTTGGACTAACACCTTAGGCAGGGCTGCTGACACTCCTTCTTACCATCTTTCTTACCATGAACATCTTTCTCAACTATTTGGCCACCCTTGGTGGATGCCATCTTTATGTTAGGCTCTGTTGACACACTGGTCTGTCTTATGGATACTCTGTTAGCTCTTCTTGGGTTCTAATATCATTGCTCGTCAGCCCCTCCACTGCACACATATGCTTTCTTTATCCCAACACAAATACTGACCTTGCTCTTCCTAAGCTTATTAAAGTTAGGCCACCCCACATGGATATCTTCTTTATCCTGCTTGGGCCCTGACTTTCTGTTTATCAAGAAGCCCTCCTTACCCTGCTTGGACTTCAACACACTATGCCAAATCTCCCCTCAGTGGGGTGTGCCCCCCAACTCTAATCCTGTGTCAGGTTGCCTTTGTGGGAGGTTAGTCTCCTCTTTCACTTGAGCGCTGAGATCCTACTGCAGATTACCATTCTCACAGTTGACCTCTTCCTCAACCTCACCAGCCTCTGCCAGTCTTCCTCCACATGCCACCACATACCTCTATCTTGCTCAGGCTCATGAAATGGCTTTGAAATGGACTGCCAGGAAGAGAAGTGGGAGACATTTAAAATCTGTGAATGGATTTCTCTACTTATGACAGTGGATCTCACAAATTATATTCCTACAAAAAGGTCAGTCATCCATGTACACACCCCCAGTGGGAATGATTATCCTGAACAACACCCATCCTTCAGAGTGAGATTAGAAGAGCTGTCTATCCTCAGTTGAAAGTTCAGCTCCTGAGTAGCTCACCAGGCTGACATAAACGAAGCATGGAGGCTTTTCGTTCAATCTGTCCCCAAACCCAGGCCAGTTGTTTTGGGTCTACACCAGTGTGGCCACTATATTTTGAGGGCCACTTCAGGGTGATTCTTACCATTAGTCCTTGTTATAGGAGTGCTGTTTCTAGAACCTGCTGTTGCACAACTGCTAAGGATGCAGGGCCCTTCAGAGACCATGTGGGAAGAAGTCCTGTGGCACTACCCGAGCTCTTCTAAGTTTAGGGCTTTGTATATAGAACAAAATCTTTGCATTTGACTGTCAGGCCTGGGAGTGAGGACAGAGCCTGGGATAGTAAGTTACCTAGCCATGGTTGTGAGGAAAGCTTGGATCTAGGCTGGTGCCTGGGAAGCAGCTGCTCCCCTGAGAGATTTTGCTCTCTATGGGGTCATGATAATGTTACACTATAGTGTTCTAAGCACCCCCAGAAGCGTAAATAACAAAGCACTTGTGAAGAGTTCCCAGTTTCTCTTGCCCAGATATTTACGCTGTGCTGTCCCTTTTCCCAAGGAGCACTGCAGCCCTCTTGAGGCTTACTGTTTGTCACGTTGGCCCTAGTCTTGAATTGAGCCCCCCATACAATGGTCCACTACAGTCAGGATGACAAAGGTTGTATGAAGATAGCAAGCACAGCAAGACCAGAGAGGGTTGGGCCCTTTGGGTGGCTAGGGAAGTGCAGGGTAATGGAGTGTTTGTTTCCTGTCTCTGGACCAGGAGTATTGTTTACTCACTGATGACAGATGCACACAGAATGGAGGGGGTGGTCTCCATGTCCTCACCTGCAGCCTCCAGGCAGCTGGGGCTAGGGTGCCAGTGCTAATGAAGCAGGACCGGAAACCCACTGGACAAGGCTCAGCTGTGAACCCTGGCCTCACAGTCGGGAACGCAGAGGCCCTTTGAAGAAGAAGACAGCTGGGTTTTGGTTTCAGACCTTAACACTGCCATCACTAGATATTCATCTGTCAGCACACAGGGGACAACATGTGGGGAACAGTTGTGTCCAGTCAGGCCAAAGGGAGAAAGAAATGGATGACTTCCAAACTACAAAACTGCCTGGGGCCAGTGGTTCTGCCTTCTATAGCCAAAAATAATTGATTTGGTGAGGTGAAGGCTGAGTGTGAGAGGCTGGACTGTCTGCATGGGCCAGGCGGTCCTTGCCATGTTGCCTTTAGCTCACAGCAGGTGAGGACACTGAGGCTGGAGGTTCTATGCCTAAGTTGTGCAGGACGACCCTGCTTGTCCCCCAGTGCTCCAGTACAGACTGCAGTCCTGAACTGGGGGTGAATCCAGCCTGCCCACTGCACTTTATCCAGCATTACTGAAATGAGCTCAACTTTGCTTTCATTTACTTGAGGCCAGTATTTTCTCCTCTTGCTCTTTTTCCTCTCTCCTGACTTCCAATTGCTGGATTTAACTGGTGGTATTTTTCTTTCAGGACAAAAAAAATATTTGTAATCCTTGGTTGAATTTGTTTACTAAGAGTTCTCTAATCTGTGCAGTTTACTTCTGAGGGGATTTCTTGTTCTACTCTAATGGCTTTTAACTCACAGAGGTTTATTTAGCAGAAGAGGAAGGGAGCAAGTTATCTCCTGCTTAATCCCTCTTGAATGTTTACATTTCTCAGCCAGAGCATGGTGGAAAGTTGCAGCGTCCATTTGCTCTGTAATAGTCCATATGTGACTGCCAGAGCTGATGGAAACATATTAACATAAGTGATAATACTGTCATAGAAGTGAAAAGTTAAGTTGCTTATCAGTATATTTTGATAAGCTACTTAAATTTTACAGTAGCATGTGCTGGCTTCAGACAAACGTCACTGATAGGGGATTGTGCACTTTATCTGTCCTCTCTATTACTTCTCACTTCATTTATTACCCTCAACAGTGCAGCTGGTAATCTGTACAGGGCACTGATCCCCTCTCCCAGGCAGGATGTCACATCTGTGCTGTGCCTCAGGTCCAGCTTTATCAGTAACGGATGCTCTTAGCTCAACAGGCTGGACATGTGCAGGCTGCAAGTACTTGGAATGAAACTTCTCCTGTGCCTGTTCACGTAACTCTGGAAATGTTCCTTACCAATAGCAGACCCCTTCAAAGTAGTGGTAGAACTTCTTGGGACTGGGGTAACTTTTCCATAGCACAAGGGGACTTTGCCCTTAATCTTCATCTACTTGTATTTGTTCAGTAAATTCTGAGCGCCAACTATGCACCATGCTTTATTCTTGGCACAGAAAGTGGAGAAAGATGCCCTTCTTCCTCCTTACTCTGTGAGTAAGCCCTAGTCTGTTGAGAAGGCATGTGCATCATTGAGTGCTACATCATGGGGGGACCAGGGCAGCACAGGAAAGAGGGAATTGGCATAAGATGCAGGCACTCAAGTGGAAGGTTTTCAGGAAGATGAACAGAAATCAACTAGACTAAACCACAAAGTTCAGAGGGAGATGAGGACTGAGGTGTGCTCACTCAAGTAGGCCTGAGGCTACCTGGATATTCTTGGAGTGAAGCTGCCCTAAAAGTCATAGGCACAGGGCCAAGTAGAGGGAAGAAAGACAGGGAGGCAGTCCAGGGAAATCCTGATAAGGAAAAGCCTCCCCAGCTATCCTAAAAAATGGACATCATTGCAAGAATTTAATCCAATGCGTGATTTTGCATTTCTGAAAGACCATTCTAAGAGCCAAAATGAGGTCTGAACTTCAAGGCCAGGCCATCTTGTGAGTTTAGGGAAGTGATGGTCAGGACATGGGGGAAGGCAGTGGGGACGGAGAATTAGACATTAAATCTACAGTCAATATAGAGTAAGTTCATTAGAAGTTGGTCTAGTGTACCAACACAAGTAGTTTGGGGCATGCAAGGTCTGTGGGACACCTTACAGCCATCATCAGTGAGTGTGCTGTATGTGGCTGTAAAAATGTGTTCAGTCATGAGAAATTGCATGGACACTTTCCTGGGGATGTTGGGTGGGGTGGGAGAGGCCTAGGGCAACACAGAGATGGAGTCTCATTGCAGAGTCTGCTTTGAATTTCTTCTCTATGAACCTGGTTTAGCTCTGAGGCATGGGAATAATTCATAATGGTCATTTAATCCTCGGCCTTACAGAAATAATTAGCATTTCACCTGCCTGTGTTTTCAGGACAGTCTATGACAGGAAGACTCTTAGGGATATAGAGAAAATCTGAAATGTATCAGTCTCGACTTAGGTCTCGGTTCAGATTTTTGACCTGCATACTAATATTTCCTGTGTTTCCTCTTCTTCCCCAGCTATCTGCCCTGGTTCGAGGTATTTTATAAACTACTTAACATCTTGGCAGATTACACGACAAAAAGACAGGTATTTGCCTTTTTTTAAAATTAATTATTTTTTAACAACTAAATTTTAAATCATGATTATGAAAGTAATAAATGTCTTGTATTTCACCAGAACCTTTTCTAAAAAAGTCAATGCATGCCCACTAGAGAAACTTTGGGAAATTCAGAAAATAGTGGGAAGGAAAAGTAAATCACTTCTCACCTAATCTTCCCTTATTCTTTTCTCAAAAATAAATATTGCTATCTTGTTGGGTTGGCTTTTTTCTTTAGTTTTTTTTTTCTTTGAGTTAAAGAAATAATTAATAGATCTTAGCATTCACAGAGTTAATATTCACAATTTCTAATATTCCTAAGCAGCTCTGAAAGTTCATGACATGTATTAAATTATAATTTTGCTCAAATTTAAATTGCTCATGTCATGCTGCAAATCTGGGGTTTGCAGGTGATGTGCTTTAGTGGCAGGTGACCTACCCAGCTGCCCACGCTCCCATTTTGATAAAGCTTTGTGATGTTTTTTATGCTAATTTTTTAAGGATTTGAAAATTACTTTAAAAATTCAAGTGTACCTTACTATACTTTTGGAAGAAATGGTATGCTGAAGTAGCTCCATGGAAGTCAAAGGTCATCTGGAGCTGTGTTTAGACTTGTAGCCCTTAGTTGCAGAAACTATTGTAATAGGCTCCCTTCTCCCATGCTATTAAAAATACTATAAATATTTTTGGTGACTGCATGACATTGTATCATGTACTTTGCAGCTCAGTGGTACAGTATCTCTGGGTTCAACACCCAGTTCTAGAAAGAAAAGAAAGAATGCGTGTATCTTATGATTCCGGAAGGGCTGGGTAGATAGTACTTAAGCTAGTACTTGCTTACTGAAAGAGTTTTCTCTTATTGGGAATTTTAATTATTTGGAATTTTTTACTATTATAATAAATACAGCCATTAGCATCTTTGAGCTTAAAGCATTTCCTTCATTTTGGATTGTTTCCTTAAGAGGTAACCCCAGACACACGTGTAAGCTCAGTGTATATAATGTTTTTGAAAGAATTTGACAATTGCTTTCCCAAAGAATTGTACTGTTTTTCATAAAGGATACTTCACCAGCAAGGTACAAGAGCCCCTGGGTCACAGTGCTCTCATCAGTGTTATTTGATGAACTCGTTGTTTATTTGATAGCTAAGAGTCTTATTGTCTAATGGCACTTCTTTGATTGTTAGTAAGTTGAATATTTGTCCATATGACTAACTTTTTATGTTTTTATTTTTGTTGGACTAAATTTTTTAATTAATTAAAGTGATCCTATTCTTAAATGTTAAAGAAAAATGCTTTTGTCTATAGAATACTAGTTCTGAGAAATATTCCATAAAAAACAACTACTATGGTTTAGCATGATCAGGTTTGAGGAGTGATAGCCATATTTTCCTTCCTTAAGATTTACATAATGCAGGCCCTAAGAGATCCTGCAGAAGAAAAGAAGTTTGTTAAGCTGGGGTTGTGACTCAGTGGTAGAGCACTTGCCTAGCATGCATGAGGGACTGGGTTCGATCCCCAGCACCACCTTAAAAAAAAAAAAAAAACTAAAAATAAAGGTATTGTGTCCCTCTACAACTAAAAGTATTTAAAAAAGAAAAAGAAAGAGAAAAAAGTTTGTTAAGCAGTGCTTCTCATCTTTTTTAATCCCAAACCCTTTTTGTTGTATGGCAAAAAAGCATTCAGAGAGATCACTGTGTTTTCCTGGAACACACCTTGGGAAATGCTGTTGCCTTCAGGAAAGGTGGAAATTGTGTGTATGCTAGGTAAATCTTTTGAGTTAGATTTATTCACTAGCAAATGCATTCTAGAGGTCACAGAAAATGGAAGGAAAAATCTAGTACAAATGGTTCTCTCAATCGCTACACGTACTCTGAAAGAAGCCTAAATGTCAGGGACTGTCATAAAATAAGTGACTTACTCTTTGATGAAGATTATTAGGAGATTGTGTTGAGTCTGATCATCAATTCAGTTATAGTTATCTTTAGTCAAACATTTAGGTTTTTTACTCAAGGTTGAAAGATGTCTAACAAAATTGTATAGCACAGAGACTCTTAGCAGTTTTTGAACTGCATATTAACTCACATATTTTCTTTTGTATCCTCCAGTTTTTTAATAAACAACAATAGAAATTAGTATTCCTAAAAACATCTTGTTCAGGACATGGCAGTGCATACCTATAATCCCAGGTCATCCTCTACAACCTAATGAGATCTTATATCCAAAAAAATTTAATTAAAAGGAATGGGGATGCAGCTCAGAGGTACAGTACCCCTGGGTTCAACACCCAGTTCTAGAAAGAAAGGAAAGAACGCATATATCTTATGACTCGGGAAGGGCTGGGTAGATAGTACTTAAGCATTGGGGAGACCAGATATCACCCTGTAAAATTGAGGCGTCTGTCCTCGGCTATTGCTCCAGCAAGGACTCTACCTCTTAGAGTGTTGAAGGCTAAGATCATACAACTGTCTAGTTTGTAAGGTGTTGGCCAGTATAGGTAAGAATTTTTTTATTTAAAAAACCAAACCAAGTCAAAATAGAATGCCTCTCCCCTTAAAACAAACAAAACAAAACCCTTCTCCTATCCAACAGTCATTGGAAAGGCTGGGCATGGTAGGCTTCTATTTGGGGGGTGGTGTGTGTGTGTGTGTGTGTGTGTGTGTGTGTGTGTGTGTGTGAGAGAGAGAGAGAGAGAGAGAGAGAGAGAGAGAGAGAGAGAGAATGAATATGAGAATGAAGAGAGAGAATGAACAAGAATGAGACCATGACCTTTCAGCCTGGGAAATCAGAGCCTAAGGTGGGGGATCAGGGTGTTTTTTTGGTTCCTAGCTCCAACATGGTTATCAGATTCTGAATGGAACACTGAGGGCATCCATGTGGAAGGGAGGGGATGGCAGGGTAAGGAGAGCATCTGAACTGCTGATTAGTATGTTCAGAGTATTGGGATGGGGAGATGAGGATACGTATGTAGGAAAGTGGGGATAGTGGCATATGGGGGTGTTGGAACTTAGGTGAGATCTGGGAGGATCCACATGGAACGGGAGGCAGCAACAGTGGCTCAGCAGTGTTCAGCAGGAAGGGAGGCTCCAATTTGTGAGGGGTGAAGGGTAGAGATTCAGTCCTGGAGGTCAGAGGGCAAGGTAAGCCTCTGGGTGGGGAAGGAGAAAGGGATAGTGATAGAAGTGTGGTTCCATACAAATAACTAAATATGCTCAGAAGATAGAGGCAAGATGTTTCCATGCTGCAGGCAGGATAATTTGTGGAATATAGTCATAAATATATTTTAAAAAAGGAAATTTGAATGATTCCTATGTTGGACTGGACTTAGAACCATTGGTGTGAACCCAAAGCTTTTGATAATGTGAAGATAGATCCAGAAATAAATAGAGATGTTTGAGGCCTATTGTGGGTCTGTGTGTATTATGCTCCCCAGCTTTATCCACTGAAAGGGCCTGGTGCCAGCAATCCCAAGCAGCAGTGAACATTCCTGGTGTTCAGATCCTAGTTCCTAAATATCATTCCCCACTAAAAGAGACCAGGACTCCTTGAAGAAATATCTGATTCCAGGTCTGGGGCAGGGAAAGTATACGATAAGCCTAAAATATCTTTATTGCCCTAAAGTAAGGAAGTACTCAAAACATGATGGGGAAATATCAGACACAAAAGTGAGCTTGAAGAGCCACCAGGTTTCCACTGGTCAGATATGGGAGTGTCAAAACAAATATTGATAGCAAAAGATTGTAGCTCACTGAATAAACTGGAATCCATGTGCCCAGATAATATAAATAAGTAAATGTATAAATTGAAGTTTCAAGGAATGCAATCTTTACATAAAGCATCACTCCACAAAATATTTATTAACATAAGGAAAAGTGTCACCTCACAGTAGAGACATCAAATTAATTCGTTAAATGATCAAAACAAACATCACTGGTAAAGGGACAAATTGAAATTTTAATCATAAGAAAATATCAGGCAATTGAGAATCATTCTACAATGGGTGGGGCTCACTGTCAAGGTCATACAAATCTAGGAAGGACTGAAGGCTGCTCCAGAGGGAAGACTTGAGCCTCATAACTACCAAAGGCATCAGAGGATTCTGCTCTGGATTTGTGTCTGTGAGGGTATTAGTGGCACCCTTGGCAAAACTTGACAGGCCCTGAGAACTGGAGGCTCATGCTGCATGCAGGATAATTTCTTGAGTATGATAATTAACTATAGTTATGTGGGAGAATATTCTTGTTGGGATCTATTGATGATGGGTCAATGTCAGCAACTTGTCCTCAGTTCAGGAACTAGAAGGTTTTTAATACTGTTTCTACAACTGTTATATAAATTTAAGACTGTTGTAGAGCAAAACATGTATACACATAAATTCATGTCCCTCCTCTGTGAGAAACTTGTTTGATTATCAGAGTTCAGGTTAAAACAAGCTTATAGTATGGACTCACCCTCTTTTTCCTTAGGTTCAGTGCCCAAAACAGAGACCGCTGTGGGCATGAACACACCAAATCTGATTTGCTGCCAGCTATGCAACTTACTGATTTGAAACAAATCACCTTTCAGAACCTCAGTCTTCACATCTGTAAAGTGGGTGGTTAGGCAGATCACGTGCATAACAAATGGATACCAATGTAAACTTTCTGCTGTTATGTTAGCACAAAGAATTCCATGGATTGAAAAGAGAAATGTCTTTTGGATCATTCTGAGAGCAGTGTTTCTTTGAGCATTTTAAAGGCGAATCTGTTTTAAATTGAATAATTTGTACTGCTTTGTATGTCATTCTGTTGCTCAGTTTCACTAATTAAAATGCACAGCCACCATTCTCTATTGCCTGCTGGGGTACTTAGTTCATTTCTAACTTTCCATAATCAGAGGCTGCCATGTGTACCCAGTGAACACTCAATAAAATTAATTGAGGGTAATGATGAAGACAGGATCCACAGTGTCATCGTTATTTCTCCCAGCCACCCCCGCTGTGGAAGCTCAGATTGTTTGCATTTAAAAGTTGTTGCTATGGAATTGAGGGGAAAGATTTGCTGAGAGCTTATGGTATATGATCCATAAAAGGCGGTCATGGTAGGTGTCTCACTGAGTAGAAAATGTCAAACTCAATGTAGGAGGATCTATTTGGCTCCTATGTTTGAGCCATACGCAGTGTCTTTAGCCCAATCCTGCTTGAATATCAAACCTATTCCTGTTCTGGGGCCAGTATCTCCCCCTCAGCCATGAAGGCCCAGCTCATGTGTGCCCAGATATTCTGTAGGTGTCTTACTAAGAACTCAGCTTTGCTTTTGTTACTTAGGCCTTTTATTTCTTCCAGGAAAGTCAGTGGAATGAACTTCTTGAAACTCTGCACAGACTTCCTATCCCTGACCCCGGAGTGTCTGTTCATCTCAGTGTGGTAAGTGGAGCAGAATAGCAGGTATCCCTGAGAAGGCATTTCGTTATGAACAGTCAGAGGGACTTGGGCCAAGAAGATTGTCTTTTCTCATCTGTGCCTCCCCGACTCCTGCTCTGAGAATACTCAGAAACCTCTAGGCTTCAAGGAAAACAAGGAGGTTGAATTTCTTCCTTTCTCTTAGATTTCACAAGACACTGAGTGTCCCAGTGTCCTGGGGCTATTCTCTGAACATCACTCCTTCACCAGCATCTTCTGGATTGCAGATGCTGGGCTAAATAAGATGACTGGCCCCTGACAGCAACTTTAGCCCCTGGCTAAATGCTGCACATTTCCTCTTGTTGAAGGCCACCCTACACTCTCAGCCTTCAACAACACCTCTCCCCTATTTGCCTGGTAGACCACACATATCCTTCATAATCAATTCTGATTTATTTCCAGAGAAATTCTTCCTTGACTTTGCAGGCTGAGGCTAAAGCTTTCTCCTTTGCCCTAAGCATCTGGCACACTTTGCAGTGCATACCGCCACTGTATTGGAATGATCTATTTTCTTTTCTCCCTCACTGGACTGAGCATCCCTTGAGGACAGAGGGAGAGTTTCTGGCCTACAGTGGTAATCATTTCTTTTAATGACTCCCCCACCACCCTTAGCTACCAGGGATTGAATCCATGCTGGGCCAAGTGTTCTACCACTGAGCTACATTCCCAGCCCTAGTTTTGAGACTGGGTTTCACTAAGTTGCCTAGGCTGGCCTTAAATTTGAAATTCTCCTGCCTCAGCCTTCTAAGTAGATGGGATTACAAGCATGAACTATCATGCCTAGCATTTTGATTGCTTTTAAATATATGCATGTTTTGCAGTGTGCTAGAATGGAAAATCCTGTGAACTATCTACTAAGAAGATTTCAATCCTTGTAAACTATTTTTCTAGTGACCTAGTGAAATTAATCAGTACCTTTAATTTTGTGAGCCTCAATGTCTTCATCTATCATGTATGGCATCCTAAGAGGTGTAAGGGATCTTTTTCATATTTCAGTTACTGGAATTCTCCAGTTCCCTAGGTTGAGCCCTTGTCTCTAAGTTCATTGAAATTTCCTTTGGCCAAGTATTGATTATTATCCAGAAGCTATTTCCCCTGTGTCATAGGAAGTATTGGCCCAAGAAGTATTCACTTTCCAACTTCATTAGAACCACATACAGTGTTGGTATTCAGTGGTTAGGAAATTGTCTAAGGAAAGTTAATATTTCCTATAGTTTTTTTTCAGAATCATGATAAAATTGGAAACCATATTACTATCAATAACTAATAAAGTTGTTAAGTTTCTAATTTATACTAAATCTGTATCCCTAATATGCAAAACACTGCCACAAAATAGGTACTAACATTTTCATTTCATAGACAAAAGCTTTAGAGAGGAAAGGTTACTTACACATTAAAGTCTTGTGGTTTAGAAATGATAAAATTTGAAATTTCAACCCAGGGCTAATTTGAAAGCCAGTGCCCTTTCCACTATGCCACGTTTGTTGTAAGAGGAGAGGAGGGAGGGTTGAAGGGATTTGTAGAGGTTTTTACTCATTTTATTCGAGCACAGGAAGATACCTTATTACAAAAATTCTTGTAAGTCAGATGGAAGTGTCTAGAAAAAAATGAACAAATGGTCTTTAGACTTGCCCAAGTCATTGCTAAAGCTAAGCAGCCCTGCCTTTGTCTCTCTCTCCCTTTTCCTAAGCAGCTTGATCTCACTGCTTCAGTCTGTAATGACATCCGACAGGTAGCAGTAGAGTAGCCCAGCTGGGTCACCAGCTGCTGGGGAGGAAGGGCCACTTCTTCCCCCAAATGGTTGCACAAGCGGCATGCTGCCAGGCCTCAAGGACAAGCCATCTCGGGGGCAGGAGGAACTGTTGGGGTGTGCATCTGTTTCATGTGAGTGGATTCTAGGAATGTTTCTGACCTCCCTTGGTCCCCAGCATTTCATGGGCAATGGAGCAAGATAGAATCTCAAAGGACAGCCTGGGCACTACTTGGTTTTGGAATTGCAACCACTCAGTATTTACAATCCATTGCATTTGCATAGGCAGGTTTTTCTTTTTTCTTCTTCACTAAGAATTCCTCTTTCCAAATTGCTTTTCTGATTTTGAAGGGCTACTCTCATCCAGGTTATAAATCTCAAATGTTAATAAAATGTCATTCTTGGAATTTTGATTTTTAGTTGCTGTCTACAAAAGAATATTTCCATGTGTCCATGTGTCTGATATAGGTTCTTGAGAAAAATAGAAATAGCAGTTGGGAGCAATTATCATTTTATGTTAAAATACTATTTATTGAGTGCTAGGCACTTCATATATATAATGTTTGTTCTTTACAACTACTTCAAAATCGATATAATAATTCCCATTTATAGATTCTAAAACCGAGGTTCTCTGTTATTAAGTAAAGTTGCCTGAGCTCACATACCTACTAAGTGGACAAGAGTTTTCTCACTGTGCTAAGCCATTAATTGATGATTCAATCACTGTATGTACATTTGGTGCTGTACATTTCCTGATGCTCCCTTCTTAGCCATTTGATATAGAAGTTGGTATTTCATGGAGTTATTTTGAGCCTTGTATTTTGTTTTTCTCATTTTAAGTTGAATTAATTGTTGACTAGTTTCCATGCTGCACCATCGATTGTGATACTTCATAGGTAACATTTTGGCATAGAGACACAGATTTTGGAATAATGCATTGCAGAATGTTTTTAAAAATACTTTTGTAACACTTTATTTTTACTTTTAACTTTTTTATTTTAATTCAAGTTCCATTAGGCATAATTTGCACATAAAAAGCACAAGTATAACTGTTTGTTACAGTGGAAAGGGTATAGCTCTAATTATATGGACCTGGCTTCAGTTCTGGTTTTGCCACATATTAACTGTGAGATCTTAGATGAATTACCTACCTCTTTGAACATTAATTTATCCACTTGTAAAAAGTAGATAATATATACTTAAAATTTATTATGGAGATTAGAGATGATATAAGATTTATACTATCTGACATAAATTCTTCCATCTAGTATGTGTTCAATAAATTTCTGCTAAATATTAGACAAGTAGCTCATACTGTTATTGTTGTCATTGTCATTATTACAATTGTCCCTAGGGCCTTTCATTTCAGAAAATACAAATCATTGTTCTAGAGACAATTATTTTGCAGTTACCTAGGAATAAAGGTTTGGGGGAGGACTTCCTGAAATGTCACTTGGGGGTCCAGGTCTAATTTGAACTTAGACCATGGTTAAATTGACCCTCTCTGCATGTGACCTTTTCTAGCCTTTCATAGTTCCATCTTTAATTGACTAGCTCCAGGCTTTTTCCATTCTTGCTTACCATTGTTCTGAGTCTTTAAGAGCAGCAGAGGCAGTGTCATCAGTTCAGCCTGTTGTCATTTAACTCAGACACACTTGTTACATACATGGAGATGTCCCATTCAGAGTCTTTGAAGAGGTCAGTTTTTCARTTCTGCTGAGTCTCTAGCCACCTTCACTGGCAATCCCACTGGAAGGCAGTAGGCTTCTTTGTGGAGTGTGCTTAAGTGGACAGATTCTCCACTCTCAGCCATGTGCAGTGGTCTCAGCAGAGTAGCCCTTGAGCTGGAGTTGTTCTTTTTTTTTTTTTAAAGAGAGAGAGAGAGAGAGAGAGAGAGAGAGAGAGAGAGAGAGAGAATCCCTTTTAATATTTTTAGTTATTGGCGGACACAACATCGTTGTTTGTATGTGATGCTGAGGATCGAACCCGGGCCTCACGCACACCAGACGAGCGTGATACCGCTTGAGCCACATCCCCAGCCCCTGGAGTTGTTCTTAACATCACCTGGTTCTTCAGTGCAGATTTTGGCCACAGTTTATAGATGGCTGTAATCTCAGCTGTTGAAATGAAACAGCAGGTCTGGTTGATGAAGACCAAGGCTGAGTAAAACTAATGTGATTTGGCCCCTAGAGTCCTCTTGTCTCTGAGCAATAAATTTTGAAACCTGCAACTTTTGTGTGTTTAGGAACCTATAAATATTACATGGGAATTTAACCTTTAACTTTTTCATTTATATCCCACAAAGAAGTTCATCTCTCCTAGAAAAGAACTCTTCTACCAAACTCAAAATTTCATGTATCTGATTTAATGTAACATTATCCTAAAAATAAAATTCATAGATATTCCCTATGAGTCAAACTCTGTCTCCTCTTATGAGTAAGGAAGTATCTTTCAATCATATACTTGAATTCTGAGCAGTGTGCTTGTTATATAGTTATACATTCTTACAAAAATACAGAGCTTGTGCTTTTCTTTTTCAGCATTCTTACTTTACTGTGCCTGATACCAGAGAACTTCCCAGCATACCTGAAAATGTGAGTACTTGGGAAGAAAATGTTAAATTTATATTCTTTGTTTTCTACTTATTTTTTAAATTAAAGGATTATTTTAGAATGTAATTGTGAAATTGTCATTTTTATGGTTTTTTAAAAGAATGCATTAGCAGGGTGGTACAACCTGTAATGTCTGTGGCTTGGGAGGCTGAGGCAGGAGGATCACATGTTTAAAGCCAGCTTCAGCAACTTAGCGAGGCCCTAAGCAACTTAGTGAGACTTTGTGTCAAAAAAAAAAAAAAAAGCAGTGGGTGAGGGCTGTGGATGTGGCCCAGTAGTTAAGTGCCCTTGGCTTCAAACCCTGATACAAAGAAAAAAATAAGGCATTATAAAAACAAATATAATAGGAAAAATGTATTATAAAAGCAAAATGTTGAAAATATAGAACGTAAAAAGACAAGGAGAGATGTTCCTCATATGTCTCAAAGGTAAATCACCTATTAATGTGTCAATATCTCATTGTAGTCTTTTTAGAATATATTTTTACATAGTTAAATCACTTATTACATGAGTGTCTTTCTCATTTCATTCATAAGAATCATTTTTATTCACTACATAATATTCCATTTGCTTATCATTCCTCACTGTTTAAGTTTACTTATCATATCTCACTGTTGCACACTTACATCGTTTCTCCTTTCTATCGCAAATGAAATGTTTCCATATGAATAAAATTCCATGTAAAGGTTTCTTTATTTTAAAAGAGTAGATTACTTCAAGTAGAATTGCACTTCTGCTTCTTACCCTTGTGTAATTCACTTTTCAGAGAATAAAAGTGTAGTGGGTAAAGCATGAGGGGCTCCTATCTTCGCCCCCTGAGGGCTTAGGAGCAGTAGATTAAAGTGCAAGAGCAGATGGTCCATATCTGCCCTCTGAACAAACTCAGTGACATATTAAGCCTCAAGGCATGTTTTCAAAATGTTTTACTATGATTGTAAATAGTACTGTGTGTGATCAAATATAGAGTAGCCACTGAGGTACTTGGTTCCTTTTTTAACAATTGTGGTAAAATATACATAACATAAAATTTACCATCTTAACCACCTTTAAGTGTACAGCTCAGTAGTTTTAAGTGTATTCATGTTGTTGTGCAATATGTCCATCTCCAGAACTTTTTATCTTCCAGAACTGATGCTCTGTACCCAGTGATCAACTCCCTCCCTCTCCCCAGCTCTTGACAACTCTTAAATGGCATGCGGAAATGAAATTGTACAACACTTGCCTTTTGTGCCTGGCTTATTTCACTTAGTGCGATATCTTCTGAATTCATCCATGTTGTTGCATTGTCAGAACAGCCTTCCTTTTAAAGGCTGAATGAAACTGCACTGTGTATGTATACCCACATTTTGTTTATCTGTTCATCCATTGATAGACATTTGGATTGATCCCACCACTTTGTTATTTTGAATAATTCTACTTCGCACGCTGGTGTACTAATATCTGAATCCCCACTTCAAATTCTTTTGAGTGTATCTTTGATAGCAAAGAGGTGGATGGAACATGGGTATTTTTTTTCACATTAGGTAATTAAAAATTCATATCAGAGTTCCCATTGCAACTCCAATGGCTAATGTTTATTGAATTCTCCTATTGTCCGATAACGTGCAGTACATTTTCCCATTTACCTTTCTTATTAAGCTTAGATGGTAACTACCACAATTATTTTCATTTTATATAAGAAAACAGAAGCCCTAAAAATTTAAGTAACATATTCAATGACCTATAACAAAGAATTGGTAGAATCAGAATTCAAACTTAATCTTTTTGATTTTCAAGACTGAGCTTCTATATACTGTTAGCTTTTTTGTGTCACTGTGTCCAAAATACCTGACAAGACACTTATGGGATGAAAAGTTTATTTTCAGAGATCTAGTCCAGTTCCACTCAAACTAGGATGGACCTCTGAATATCCCTGCTTTTGGAGGATACCTCATATCCAGACCATAACACATACTATGCTATACTTTGGGCCCATGATTTTTAACCTTTCACTTTAAAATTTTATTGATATAATAAAAGAAGTATAAAGTTAAGGAGAACAGTCTTCCCATAACGATAGAGGGAGCCACTATGAACCAGAAAATTTGAGAACTTTTGCAATGTCAAGGAGATGATCACTGATACTTATCCATCAGTTTAGTATAAACGGTGGAGGTACCCAGAAAGAATCCTTCAAAAAGTGCAGATACAATTTTAAAAGTAGCAAAAGGCTATTAAAGGATAATTTTCAATTAACATGGAACATTTATAAAAATTGATCAGATACTAAATTACTCTGAAATTTTCAAAATAGAATAAGTTAAACTTTTAGGTCCCTATCTTCTACTGATATAAAATAAGACTAGAAATTAATAATAACAGGTTTAAAAATGTTGCTATACTTGAAATAGTGCTGGGGTCAAACAGAATACAAAATTAAAATTGAATATTGTTTAGTTTAGAAATTAATAATGAGAACACTAAACAACAAATACATAAGGGATGTGTGGCTAAAACCATATTCAGGCAAAATTTCATTGCTTTTGAATGCTTTTGTAAAAATAATGAATTTAAGTTTTGTGTTGCCCCTCACTGCCCCCCCCCCCAGCTCTTTTCAGTTTATTGCATGAAGGAGTTACACTAGTCCAAGTTAAAAGTGGACCCCAAATGGCTAAATTATACTAGCTCTGAGGGTTTTAAACTTGAGACAAGGAACAGAAGGGAAATTCTACTTGTTGCAAGGAAATCCTCACTTAGGCTGCAGTGAGCCATAAGCACTTAAAACCCATGAACCTTCAGCTGATCCAATCTCTACCAGGAACTGGCATATGTTCTTGCCCCTGTAGCTGAATTATGTCTCCATGTTTTGGATGCTCAATTACAGTAATTGCAGGCAATTTTCTTCTTAAATGCTTTCTCTAGTTTATTTTTATTGTAATTCTCAGCGATCCCTCGAACAGTAGTTGGGTCTTCCTGCCATTTCTGTGTTGAATTCTTACATGGATGTAATCCCCAGTGCCAGCAGGAAGCTAGTCATCACCCTTACTTGCATCAGCAAAGGGGTCTAAAGAGTGGAGGTCTGGATAGTGGACATATAATTGGATTCCTTTTCCTCAGTGGAAACTGCCTGTGGAAGGCAGCTGCAAGAGAAGGTGGGGGACTGAACTTCAGAAAGGCGAGGTAGCTCAAGGGAGAGGCTGCTGAGCCCTGGGTGGCAGTTCAGTGACTGGGTGAACTGAAGTTTCAATTTAATAACCTAGAAAAAGAATATCAATAAAAAATCCAAAATTGAAAAAGATATTATAATTTAATTTACTAGGAAACATTGTTAATGTAAAACTGACAATCAAGACTTTTTTAAAAATTGAATTTTTGAAAAGAACAAAATATTTTTAACTTGATAAATTTGAAAAGTATGAAAATAGAAAATTTACTGGAAAATATGAATGATTAAAGTCAATCTAAGATATAGATAATACAAATGTAGAATAATAACTTAGATTAATAAAACTCTATTACCATTTCTGCCCTCACTATTGCAAATATATCATGGTTTGGTGGTTATTTAGACATGTTCAAATAACAGATATTATTATTTAAATTTTTACAATTCATAGAAAAGGCATACACACACACACACAAACATACATAATACAAAAGCAGAAGAAAAGGGCTGAAGTTGTGGCTCAGCAATAGAGCATTTGCCTAGCTCATACGAGGCACTGGGTTCAATCCTCAGCACCACATAAAAATAAATAAATAAAATAAAGGTGTTTTGTCCAACTACAACTAAAACAAAACAAAATTAAAAACAAAAGCAGAAGAAAATCACTCAGAATCTCCTACCATCTCAGAGAAGTCATTTTCTTAAGTTTTACCTTCTTTCTTTTTTTATGATAATAGTAGTTGTTTTCAAATTGTCCTGCCTGGAACCCTAAGAATGCTTCAGGATACCTAGAAGGCCTTGCACATGCTAGTCAAGTGCTCTGCCATTGAACTAGAGTACTGGTCCCTGCTTTTATTTTATTTAGAGCACATTAATTTCCACTGTGCTTGGGTAATATTTCATTTGAAATAAAAGGGCTCTATATATTTTTAAAAAATGTTTGGAAGCTACATTTTTTTAAAAAAACACGGTGGGGATCATACCAAATATCTTACTTTATAACTGTTTTTTCTATAACAATATATTATAAACATTTTTATCATTAAAAAAATTTTATAAAAATCTTTGTTGTAAAAGATTAATATAGAAGTATATTTTTTAAAAAAGTGAAAGGCCCCCATTAACACCACTCCTCCTCCATCCTAATCCCATTTTCCCTCCAGAATATGATGGCTGGCCTTCTAGACTTTTCTCTATGAATTTATAGTGTTGTATGTGTATCTATTGTAGACAGCTTTTTAAACAAAAATGTGATACTATTCATCTTGTTTAGCACTCCCTTTTTTGGTTTTGGTTTAATGTATTCTAAAAACTGTTCCTATCTATTTACCTTATTCTTTTTTATTTTTAATTGTCCTGAGGTTTGAACCCAGGAGTACTCTATCACTGGGCTACATTCCAGCCCTTTTTATTTCATATTTTGAGACAGGGTCTCCACTAAGTTGCTGAGAGTGGCCTCAAACTTAAGACCCTCCTGCCTCAATCTCTGGAGTTGCTGAACTTACCTGCATATGCCACTGCTCCTGGCTCTCTATTTCATCCTTTTTAATGATTTATTTTTGGGAGTGCTGGGACCTTTAATATGCTAGGCAAGTACTCTACCACTGATACCCATAGTCCTCGTAGTATTATTATTTAATGGTATGTTCATCTTGTGACAGTAATGCATATATTAATGGCTTAAAAATCATATAGTACCATGTAGTAGTTGTTAAAAAAAAACAGCAATTTCCAAGTTCTCCATATTTCTTACATCACAGAGGCAGTTACATGCAAGTTTTCAACAATTGTAGTATTTCCCTTCATATTTTTAGCATGTTCTTAGTGTTACACTAAA